AGAGCCATTACTGCACACGTCAGGAGCAAGTGGGACTTACACCCAGGCCTCCAAGCTCTGGGGAAATGAACAACACAAGTCTATTCAATTGTTAATAACTGGCCTCTTTCTGTGCATCACATGCTAACAGTGTCCTTCAATGGCCCAACAAATAAAGAAGCTTCCTATGACAAATTGCGAAGTTGAAAGATTGAAACTAATAATTGGATTATCCCTCCAAATTCCTTCTAGAGAAATCTTGCTATGAGAATCTTGTCCTATGTTGATCATTAAAAAGTGTTTAAGTAATCTTTATGATTCATATTGAACAGGAGCTCTCAAAAACCAAACCATATTGAGATCTTGGTCTGTTAGCACACAGTTAACTTTTAGCAGATACACATGTTCCAAAAACACACAGTCAGGATTGGAAAAATCCAGAAATCTCAGAGGTAAAGGGTGAATATCTGCCCTGGAGAGGGGTTACAAAAATGATGAAGGATCTAGAAAACTGGAAGACAATCACAACACTCTGGAGAACTCAAAATACTTGCTTTGTTCAAACAGGTAACTATACTTAAAGAAATTATGTGGAGGTGTCAGTGTTGGACTGGGGTCGACAAAGTCAGAAGTCACAATACACCAAGTTACAAGTGAAGTGGCGGGTGCCTGTACACTTCCTCCAGTTCACCTGACAAAGGAACAGCACACCAAAAGCTTGGGATTTCGAATAAATCTGTTGGACTATAACCTGGTGTTGTGTGACTTCTGACACTTAAAGAAACATTTCACCTCCATAAGGAAGAGCCTGAGAAATTGGAGCCCATCCTCGTAATCTCAGATGTTACGTTCAATATTAGGTTACATGACTTCTACACAGGTTTTGGATGAAGCCTGCAAAAGCAAAATGCCGCAGTTGCTGAAAATCTGAAAAAAAAACACACTGACTCAAAACATTAACTCTGATGTTACCTGATCCTACCTCACCTGCTAATTCACTGCATTTTGTATCTTTATTTCATTTGGCTGCTTTAGACCTGTTCTCCTATCTAATTCTGTAGATCCAATATAGAACATAGAAGCATAGAAAATAGAAGCAGGAGGAGAAGGGTCCCAATCCAAAACGTCAACTTTCCTGCTCCTCTGATGCTGCCTGGCCTGCTGTATTCCTCCAGCTCCACACCGTGTTATCTCTGACTCCAGCATCGGCAGTTCTTACTATCTCTGAGTAGGCCATTCAGCCCTGCTTTGCCATTCATTATAACCACAGCTGATTATCCAACTCTATAGCCTGTTCCTGCTTTTCCTCCATATCCTTTGATCCCTTTATATCCAACTGCTTCTTGAAATCATTCAATGTTTTGGACTCAACTGCTTCCCGTGGCATAAAATTCCACAGGCTCTCCACTCTCTGGGTGAAGATATTTCTCCTCATATCAGTTCTAAATAGTTTACCCTATATCTTTAGACTGTGACCCATGGCTCTGAACTCCTCATTCACTGAGAATACCCTTTCTGCATCTAACCTGTCCAGTCCTGTTAGAATTTTATAGATTTCTACGAGGCCCCATCCCCCTCATTCTTCTAAACTCCAGCGAATTCAATCTTATTGATTCAACGTCTCCTCATGTGTCAGTCTTGCAAGCCCAGGAAACAACCTTTGCTTCATTCCTTCAACAGCAAAACCATCCTACAGGGTTAGCAACAGCCTAGTGATATTATTGCTTGACTATTAATTTCAGAGACACAGACAATGTTCTGAGGACCTGTGTTTGAATCCTGCCATAGCAGATGCTGGAATTTGAGTAGCAGTCTGAAAAAAATGAGTCGAAGATGTCCAGGATAACATTGCCGATTGTCAGAGGAGGAAAATACCCAGCTGGATCACCAATGTCCTTTAGGGAAGGAGATCTGCCATCCTCACCTGTTGTAGCCTACATATGACTCCAGATCCAGAGCAATGTGGTTGATTCTTAATTACCCAGAGGGCAGTTAAGGTTGGGCAACAAATACTGACGCAGCCAGTAACACCCACGTCCATGGATGAATTTAAAAAAAAACCTTCTTCGGATCAGGAAGCCAATATTGCATCTCATACTTCACCTCATTTCTCTGAACACATGGTTCACAAAAATGAGCAACTGATTCACCATCAGTTTCCCATTACGGAAGGAAGTTCAACTCACTGCATGAAGAAATATTTCCAAATTACATCCTGAAAAGTTCTGGCTCAAAATCTGGGAGGTGCCTGTCTTTTCAGTTGGCACAGATTGCCTCTCTTTAACTGTTCACCCAAATACCTTGATAGCTTCGATGAAATAGCCCTGTAACCTTTTAAGAACCAGAAAATACAACCCCAGTTTATATGTTCTCTCCTTGTAATTTAACATTTGTAATTCAGATATCAGTGTGGTCATGATAACATTCTGCACTCCATCCAAAGCTATAGAATCCTGGCTTCGATATGGTGCCTGGCTCCAAGTCTCTCTGAAGTGTCACCACTTTAGCTTTACATAACTTTGATTCAATTTGGCTCCAAAGTTACTGTTCGTACACTTGCTGACATTAAAATCCCTTTTCCCCAGTTTTGTCCCTTGCCCCAAATACACAAATATTTCTTGTTTATTCAAAGTTTCTATCTCTGTGACTGCCACCACTGTTTGTGTCATCAGCATGATTTGAATTGTAGCTTTCTACATTATCATCTGCCTCCTTTAAAGAATAGGTGAATAGCTGAGGCCTCAACATACATCTCTGTGGGACACTAGTCCCGTCCTATAAATTAGGTTCCCTGTCCGCTCACCCTACTTTCCTCCCAAGGCTCAGCTAACACCTTCACCAGCTGAATGACCTGATGTGGAGGTGCCGGTGCTGGAATTGGGCAAAGTCAGAAGTCACACAACACCAGGTTGGACTATACCCTGGTGTTGTCTGAGCTGAATAACCAGCCAACAATTGCATAAGGTACAACATTAGCCGACAGTCTTTCATAAGACTTATTAGATGCCTGCTAGAAGTCTGTAAATAGAACATTTAAGGGTCAAGTATCTGTCAAGTACCTAACACGAGATCATGCCTGCGCTGTGATATTCTACAGTCACTATCTAAACCTATGAACCGGCTGGTTACACTGTGTGAACAGGGACGGTTTACTTCAGCAGGGAAGCGGCTACAGAAAAGAGAGATCGGAGAATACAACAGGGAGAAAGAACGAGAACTGAATCGCCTCACAGTAAAGAGCAAATAAAACAGTGCAACATTCAAAATGCCCATGAGCATGCAGCAGCCCCACATCATAGGAAGAAATGTGGAACTGACAATCTGCAATGTGCAAATCAGTAGGGATGCACGGTCAAATCAACACAACGTGCAGTAGTGCAGGACAAGTTAAGGATCTTTAGTTATATAAAGTTCATTACGCAAGAAATGCAAATGCACCAAATGCTTATTTACTAGAGAACGAAAAGTACAATCAATAGAACAGACAGAAGTACTAATGGAACAGAACAAGACGACGAATAAAGTTAAAGGAGCTGCAGAATGAGGCTTTAAGGCCAGTAGAGTCAATTGTTTCTATTCCCAACAGTCTAGGAGACAAGGGCACAAGATCATTCAAAAGCATTGCGAATTTTTGGAACTCTCTGCTCCCAGGAGCTGTACTGCTTAGCCACTTAATACCTTCAGATCTGAGATTGACAGTTTGAGAAATTAAGGGAATCGAAAGCGATAGAGATAGTGTGTGACCTCTTATCAAAGAGTGGAGCAGGCGCAAGGAACAAGGGGGGGCCTACTCCTGCTCGTATTTCTCAAGTTTATAATATTAGGATAGTTACAGCAGTGTTTAACATTCCCTGTTCCTCATTTCCAAATGTTGGACTGTTACAGCAGCATGCAAGAATAAAGCCTGCATTTCTGGTACGATGGTCATGATGAACACAAACACAGGGCAATGACTCAGGGATCTTTTGCAATCTGCTCAACATTCCTCCTTCCCACTTCTTCAAACAGAGTAAATCTCAAAGTCCCACACATGATAAGCATCCCGTTTTAAGACTCGCTGTTTTGTATTTCATCGACACAGAGCAGGGTAACCGAGAAATTGTTAATGCAATGTTAATTATATTAATAAAGGGCATGATTTAATTAAGTCCCTAATGCATTGTTAGAGATTGATGCGACACTGGGGTGGTTGGTAGGTGGCAAATATATTTCACCACAGTATTGGGTAAATAAATCTTTTTCTCAGAGAAAAAAAAAATTAGTGTCTAGTTTCGCACTTCACCCAGGTATGAAGTCCAAGAATTATATGTGCTCAATAAGGCAAGCTAATGATACTAGACAAGGCAACAATATCAATATCTTATAAACAAATATATAAAAGAGGATGTGGTGTATTAATAGGTAACTCATCAAAACCAATAGCACTGTGCAAGGTCAGCATGAAAACAACTCATCAGAGCTGCAGTCTCAGGAGGTGGGAGAACTGTGAAAGATGGTGCTTCTGCACTAAGTTATCATTTTGGGCAAAGATACAAGAACTGCGGGAACACCGGGACCGATCCGGGTCTCGCTGTGGGGGCAGTGGCTGTAATAAGGTCTGGAGCTGAGTGGCCCTGGCGGAACCCAAACTGGATGTCATTGAGCAGGTTACTACTGAGCAAGTGCCAAGACACCTCATGGGATCCAGAGTCAATATTGAAGATTGGCAGGGCAGCTCCCTCCTGACTATATGCTACTGTGTCACCACCTTTGCTGGGCTTATCCTGCCTGTGGGACAATAGTGATGGTGTTATCTGAGGCATTAACTTTGCAGGTTTGACAGGGCTGTGCATGTCATCTCCATTTCCAGCCCCTTCTTTGATTCTGACTGGCTCGTCTGGTGTTATTGAAGTCAGTCAGTTTTCTGAGGGCCTGGGGCCTCATGTAAGCCAGACGAGGTGAGGATGGCAGATTTCCTTTACTAACTGGAAGCTGATGAGCCAGATGGACAATTAACAATAGCTTCATAGTCACCAACAGACTTACTATTAATTCCAAATTTATTGATTAAAGTTTCACCATCTGCCAAGGCGAGATTTAAACCCACATTCCCAGAGTATTAATATGCTGCTTGGGATTACTCACCAAAGTGACAATACAACTACATCATGACTCCCTTTGGAGTTAATGTCGGAAGGATTGAAAAACATTCTGGCAGTTGAATGGGGTTAAAATAATTTGTGCAGCCTCAAATAGTCATTAAGAGCAAGAGGCAGCATCTGGAACAGACATTTCGATTACAGTATGTCATTCTAGGGAATGGTAGATCTGCAGCAGAGAACGCTCTAAGATTTTAGGGAGAGAGCACTACAGTGGGATTTGGTCTTATATAGCACATACTAGCTTTTCCTATGTTATAAATCCTTAGCAGCAATTCCCACAGTCCGGAAGGGTGTAGCATTTACAAAATTAAGCACCATGGTTCTTATAAGGCTGGCAAATAAGCTAAGGTTGTTAACGTTGAAGCTCTATCCCAGAGCTCTCCAAGATAACCTAGGCAGAGGAGAATTTACTTCAATGCTTTTAGAATTCTGCAAGTTTAGCTCATGCTCAGTGGAAAGGGAATCACGTTGCATAGAGTCCATGACTTTTCAAAAACCTACATGAACTGAGATAAGTCATACACAGTTTTTAACATGATAAACAGAATGAATGGTAGAGCCTCATATCCTCAACTGGGATGGTAAGGGGAAAGCAGATATTCACGGATTAGTACAAATCACATCATTCTGAGCTGCAGAGCTCCTGATTATAAGTGGTTTGGGTTTGTCAACATCACTGTGGTAAGCATGGTTAATGTTAAAATTTCACACACACACACAGTGCTGAGGCCACACTGTAAAGTGCAAAAATAAGCTCATTTTCTTAAAAAAAAGGCACTAATTTTGCAGAAGAACCGCACTCAGGAAATAGAGAGTGCTGGAATTCTGTTGGCTCCGGCGTCTTCAAGGAAGAAGCAGAACGTGCCCTTGTGTACTGGGCAGAAATAATTTCCTTCCAACCACTGCATCTCATCTTGTGTTCGTACCAGGTATGTCCTTTAAACAAACAGGGTCTTCAGGGACAGTCACACAAGGGAAACCTGTCAATGAAAACAGGGATTAATACCCATTCGACATGCAGTGTCCCAATATGAGAAACCATGATGTGAATTATTCCAGTTATACTAAGTCTATGCTACTATGTCCTTCACAAAACATTCACAATATTTAAGCTGTGGTTTAATGTATACAACATACAGTAAAAGGAATCCATTGGCAACCAGAAACAATGTAAGTTAAAACGCTGTGCTGACTAATCAAGCTCCATCCACAGACCCAACACAGGGCTCAATTCACCAGTTTGATATCCCTCACAGATGTCCCTCCTGAAATACTCCAGGATGCCCAAAGGCAAACACGTAAACCTCGATTTAACTGAGGAACAAGTTTGACATTTGTCAATGAATAAATCAGTATGTTCAGTTTTGGGCTCCACTTCTGAGAAAGGGAGCAGCACAGAGTCATTTCAACGATGCAGGGGCTGAAAGTCTTGAATGTATGGTCAAACCCTGTAATAATTTGAGTTTTGTGGGTGTGGTATTTAAAATGATAACAAGATTCGAGGATGGAAACAGACAGAGGTGATTTTCTCTCAGAGATAGTGGGAACTGGTAGAAACTGCCGACGCTGGAGTGGCTTTGCAGTGGGGTTAAAACTCACTCAGAGATGATGCCAGGTTTGGGGTGTGGTAACTCCAGAACAAGGTGGAGAAAACCATAAAATCTGAGGCAGGCCATTCAGTGCTAACATCAGGAAGTGCTTCCTCACACCAAGGGGAGGGGTGCCTGGACCTCCCTCTAACAAAACGATGTGGATTCTGAGGGGGCCGTGAACTTTTTCAACACTGAACGGCATCGATTTTCTGTTGCTTCAGTGTATCAGGGAATGCAGAACCACTGCAGATAAAATAAATTTGAAATGCAGACTGGTCACAATCTGAATGGTAGAATGCAGTTGAGAGGCTGAATGGCTTCCTCCAGCCGCTATTAACTGACTGCATGTTATAGGACAGCTGACCAGTATGGGTTGAAATACCTACTCTTCTATCTTGTTACCAACTCCAGTAAACTGAAACAGCCAAAATCACAGAAAAGACAATGGTCCCAGCCGTCCCGACTACGATGTTCCAAGGCGATCCTGCAACTGGGAGAAAAAACAAACAGGAGCAGGAAGTTGAAGAAAATATTCCTAATGTTAGTTCAGCATTAATCAGGATCAGCCAGACAGACAGAGTGCAGTTTAACCAGCCAAAGACCATCTTCAACAAGAGACAATCTAACCACCGCATTCAACGGTGTTACAATCACTGAATTCCACTACTATCAATATCCTGGGGGCTTATTATTGACCAGAATCTGAACTGGGCCAGCCATATAAATGCAGTGGCTACAAGATCAGGTCAGAGACTGGGAATCCTGCAGCGAGTGACTCATCTCCTGACTCCCCAGAGCCCATCCACCATCTACAAGGCACAAGACAGCAGTGTGATGAAATCCTCCCCACTTGCCTGGATGGGTGCAGCTCCAAAAACACTCAAGAAGCTTGATACCATCCAGGACAAAGCTGCCCATTTGATTGGCACTGCATCCTCAAGCATCCACTCCCTCCACCACCGACATTCAGTAGCAAGTGTGTACCATCTACAAGATGCACTGCAGAAATTCACCAAAGATGCTCAGACAGCATCTTCCAAACCCACGACCTCTTTCAACTGGAAGGACATGGGCAGCAGAGACATGGGAAAATTATTCCAAAGTCAGGATGTACTGTGGTTTGGAGGGGAACTTGCAGGGGGTAATGTTCCCATGCCTTCAGTGTTGCTGGGCCAAAATGCTGGAATTGGCTCTCTAATGGCATTGGGGGTCTACCTACAGCATGTGGGCTGCAATGGTCCAATACAGCAATTCACCATCACTTTCTCAAAGGCAACTGGGGATGGACAATAAATGCTGACTCAGCCAGTGATGCCCAAGTCACATGAGTAAATAAAAAAACTGAAATAGCTGGAAAAGCTCAGCAGGTCCAGCTGCATCTGTGGAGAGAAAGCAGAATTAACGTTTCGGCTCCGGTGATCATTCTCCGGAACGCAACTGGATGTCTGTTGATTGCTAAATCAGGACTTGCTGCAGTTCCACATTGCCTGGTTGCTCACTAGTTGGTTTCCACGTGAACTGGATGAAGATAAAAAAGTACAATGGGGTTGAATTTGCTCTGGTGCTTTGTACACAGTAGATTCAATGGAAAGCTAGATAAGTTTGGCGACAAGAAAGAGAATTTAATTCATCCTTTGTTTCAATCACCATCTCAAAGAGCTGCCCTCTTCACCTCACTTTACCTTCATTTCCTCACTCCAGCAGCAGCTTTTATTTTAATATTATTGTAATATTTTAAAGCCATATCCAAAACTCTAGGGTCTTAACTCCTCTTATATCCCAACCAGCCATAACCGTCTGCTTGCTGACCTACTTTGACTGCCCGCCTGGCAATATCTTGATTCTGAAATTCTCATCATGGTTTTCAAATCATTCTCTAGACTTCAGCTCTTCCATGTGCCCCCTCCCCAGCACTCCTAATCACTAAACTGTTCCTCTGCTCCAAAACCTTCAAGATCGCTGCACCCTTCCAATTCTCAGACTCTTGTGTATCCCCAGTCATCTTCAGAACTTCATTGGTGACTCTGCCTTTCATCGACCAAGATCTTTCCAGCTTTCCATCCTTCTCAAAGGTGATCTTTAAAACATCACCTGTGGTATGTGAACCTCACGTCTAATCCTTGGCCACTAGAATTTTATTGCAGAAAATCTGCCATAATTCCACATCAGCCGTGGCAGTCTCTGCAACTCTTCGCAGCTACCTTTACTATACGCAGCCTTCCCTCCATCTATGTGCCTTGATATATATATAGGCTACACACACAAAAAAAAAGAAAACCGGACTCCCCCATCAGTCAATAAGTCTTGGAACTGAAACCAGAGTATGGATTGGCATTGGGCTCCCTTTCTGTTCCTTCCTTCCTCCCTCCAGTTTTCATTGTGGTTAAGACAAGTTATGATTGCTGTCAATTACAGGGTGGTTGGAAAAAAAAAATACCAAATTTGAAGACTGCTCATTCCTCACACCAAAAATATTCTTGTTCCCATCACTGACTGCCCAATGCCTGTATAATATACTGACCAATTGTGGCCATACAATAAAATGAATATACAATGTGCTGGCCATTCAGTTGCTCAAGTTAGCTGCGCAATGAAATCTCAGCTGATCTACATATTCAGACTATTCCCCAGGGTTAGAACATAGAAAACGTGGTTCTCGTGGAGCAATGGTAGTGTCCCTCACTCTGAGCCAGGAGACACAGGTTCAAGCCTTACCAGCTCTAGATGTGTAATAACATCTCTGAGCAGGCTGATTAGAAAATATAACAAAGCAGACTCCAGTCAGTGATCTGGTAGTGGGAAAGTTATTTGGTTGTGTGAGATAACACTGCTAGGAATAGGAACAAAAGCAGACCCCAAGGACTCTTCCAGTGCAGTGTTAGTGTCCCTACCTCTGAACTAGGAGACCCAGGGTCAACTCCTACCTGGCCCAGATGTGTATGTAATAACATCACTGAACTGGCAGATTAGAAAATGCACTGCTCCCTGGATTGCTTGCTATCAACATGCTTGCGTCCAAAGTGGATGATGTGACACTGCCTCACATTAAGTAAAACTGAACTCCATCAGAAACATTCAAGTAATCTGACTTTGTAGCCCCATGGCATTCACACACAGTAATTCCTGATTTAGCAAACAACAATTTAAGGCACAGACAGATTTTTAATTTATTAGTAACTTGTTGAAAGATTATGGGGTGTGGGCCTCCTCCTGCTCGGAGTTCTGATGTTTTTAATTGTGGCTTCTTCGTATTGTCAGCAAACTCGGAACATTTCCAGCTCCAACAACAAACAGCAGGTCCTCCTCACTCATAATGGGAACTGACAGGCAATATACAGTCTGTGGCTTGGTGTAGTCTTCACTGCAGTTGCCAGGGGATCCTCACAAGGAGGCAGACACAATTTAAGTATACAATACTCACTCAGAACAACAAAAACAAATGAGACCGCCTCATTCAGGTGCCGGTCCATCATGGTGCAGGTGTAATTGCTGATCGGTCCGTGGTCTAGTCCAATCGTGCTCCTCATGTGGAGAAACCCACCGGTCCCATTGATTGTCTCCGTGTGCGCATACTGTGTCAGTTGCACCCCCAGGCTATTCTCCCAGATCACAGTGGGCTCTGGGAACCATCCCGAGGACTCACATACCAGTTTGGAGAAGCCCTGATCAGTAACATACGAGCGGATGACCGGCTGTGCACCTACAGCTGTGAGGGAAGAGCAAACATCTGTCATGTCTCTTCCATTCCACGTGGGGTACCCAGTACCTGGTAATCATCTCAATTATGGCTCATCCAAGCCCCAGGAGCCCTTTAATACGGCTTCAACACCTCCAAACATTCTCTGCCTGGTCTTAAGCTATTCTGTGGTGAATCTGAGCTCATGTCCCGTCACTTTTTTTTTAATATAAATATCCCTGACGCCATTAGAACCGGCACCACCTTTCAAAGCTCTCAGAATCAACCCTCCGACAGTGCGGCACTCCCTCAGCACTGACCCTCCGACTGTGCGGTGCTCCCTCAGCATAGACACTGGAATGCTTTCTAGATTTTATGCCTAATTCTCCAATTTGAAAGCATGATTATTTGATTCGAATTGATGTTTGCACATTTATATAGTGTCAAGAAGTTGGGTTCTTTGCTACAGTCAAACAGGGGAGAACTGTAATGACATCAATTCCAGGCAGACTTGGAAATCTGTTCTCTTGATTTTTATTTGCTGCTTTGTTATTCTATAAAGCCTCTACTCAGTCAATGTAAGCAAGGTGAGGTTATCATTTTGGACTGGATATGGGTAGATCAGGGTACTTTCTAGTTAGTATGAAGTTCAATACAGTGAATGTCTACACAGACTCGGGGATTCAGGTCCAGAGATCTTTAAAATGTTATAAGCAAGTACAGAAAATGATCAAACAAGCTTATGGAATATTGGCCTTTACAATCTTGAGGACTGGAGTGCAAGGATGTACGATTTATACTGTAGTTATACAAAACCCTGGCTGGTCCCCAGTGGGAGTACTGTGAGCAGATCTGTGCGCCATATCAGGAAGGGTATATAGACCTTGGATGAAGTACAACATTTGTTTACAAGAATGATACCTGGACTTGAGGGGTTATGTTTGAGTGGAGATTACACAAATTAGGCCTTTGATCTGATTGAAGTCTTCAAGATATCAACAGGAAAACTCAGTACAGCACACACTCTCTGGGTTGTTAGGCTGGTGGAGGGTCGGTGTAGCTATAAGGCTCAGTCCAGTGTACCGAATAAATCAGAGGACATTTCACTGGTCTCTACCTCTTACTCCCACAGCAACCATCGTCTCAGTGCTTTGGGATCGTGTGGCAACGGAGAGTCTGTAGATACCCGAGTCAGACAGAGTCACGTTCCTCAATCTCAGCGACACATTCCCTTTTGGAATCTCGTTGTCAAAGACCTTGACTCTGTCTCTGTAGCTGGGCTCTTGCTCCTCCAGGCTGCTGTGGCTCATTGTATAATTGTAGATAACACCCATAGTCTCCATCTTCATCCAACTGAAAGTAATGGCACTGGGTTCATCCACAAAGTGATGGCAGCAGCGGATAACAAGATCTTCTCCAAACTTCACCGTGATCTGATTTTTCACACATTCAATCTTCAAATCACCTGCAAAAGACATGGAACAGGGAATCACTGCACTGTTCTTGCACAGATACTGATAAAGTGTGAGGGAACTGGATTAACATCAGTAGAGATCCTGGTGTTCTGTAGACGTGCAATTTAGACGATCTAATTGATTTGGTAAGTATCCATTACCAGACTCCCTAAGCAGCTACTGTATACAGAATTCAGTCATTGCAGAAAATTCCCAAGACAGCAGAATCATTTTAGGGAGAGCTCAAACATCCTCATGGACTTCAGAGTTTCCGGCTCATGATCGATCAAAATGTACAAGGTTCCTTTGGGAGATAACTTTGGGAATGGTTAGAGACAAAGTTGGGACATAGTTTATATGTTGTACCCTTTCAAGCATGCTATCTACTCAACCCTTTAAAAGCAGCACCTGCTCCATAATGGGGCAGAGAGATCAGGACACAAGAGTTACAGTCATACCGCATTCAAAACAGACCCTTTGGCCCAATGCATCTGTGCTAACCAGACATCCCAATCTGACCTAGTCCCATTTGCCAGCATTTGGCCTATATCCCTCTAAACCCTTCTTGCTCATATATCCATCCAGATGCCTTTTAAGTGTGTTAATTGTACCAGCCTCCACCACTTCCTCTGGCAGCTCATTCCATAGATGCATCACCCACTGCGTGAAAACATTACCCCTCAGGTCCCTTTCAAGTTCTTCCCCTCTCATCGTAAACCTATGCTCTCTAGTTTTGAAAACCCCTACCCTGGGGAAAAAGACCTTGACTTTTACCATATGCATGCCCCTCATGTTTTTAATAGTCCTCTGGGAGGTCACCCCTCAGCCTCCGATGCTCCAGGGAAAACAGCCCCAGTGTATTCAGCTTCTCTGCTCATAGGCCAAACCCTCCACTCCCTGAATGATGGCCACTGGAGAGTGAGCAATTGGTCCTCAAACCTGAGGAACAATCCAAGAAGGAATGAAATGCCCAGGGTTGAGGGGAGGAGAAGGATTGTGGAGTGGCAGACAGACAGACACAGACAATTGTAGCTATAGTCAGATGGACAAACAAAGCCCCACACTCACCATCTGAAAAGCCCTGAGCAGCTGCCAGTTTTATGATGAAAGCAACGAGTGAAACAAAGAGATGACTCATTCTGTTAAAAGAGACAAACAGTTATCAAAACAACAGAAAATATTTGTCCAGAGTCACCATGAAACCAGCATTTCTTCTTCAGCTACAGTGGGAGTTCCATTCTCCATTGGAGGCCTTAACGAGCAGAAAGCTGCAGGAAACACTTCCATTAAATAGATGACAGGAAGACAAATGGTAGAGGAAACTAAATGGACTAATGCCATGTCATAGAGAAAACTAATTTAGTTTTCCATAAAACATTGAAGCACAGTTCACACTGAACTGGGTGTTCTCCTAGCCTCCTGGCCATCTCTATTCTCTACCAGCCTTGATATTTCTCTGCAGCAAGCATTTCCACTTTGCTGTCCCCTCTTTGGAAGGGTTTCTAAATTGCATAAAACCTCCAGAAGTAAGTTTAAGGTGATGTACCATTAGCTCCTCAGCAATAATGAGGGATAGGTAAGGAGTGCCAACTTGTGCCCATGACATCACTGATCCCAAGAGTGAAGAAATTAATCACATTCCATTGTGGCATAGACTAATCCCAGACAGTGACCCACACTAGCTGACAGTACCGGTGTCTGCCCACAATTTGGATGATGTTCAGAATAGCTTGCATAGTTACTAAAAGCAGAGAGCTTTTCCCTTTTCATGTACCAATAAGGTTAATCACACAAGGACTGCGTCTGTGGATATAAGCAATTTGTACTTTCAGAAAGCAAGAGAACATCCAAGCTCATCAGATACATCAGTTCATCATGGTCTGGATAGTGAGTTTACATTTATTTATTAGAAATTACTCATTTCCAGACACCAGTGGTCACCAAACCAAATCTCCAGGTAATCAGCAGCTGACCGTGTTCAGTAACACATGCCCCCATACAAATTAAATGATGTAAAAAGATTCAAAACAAACTCTGAAATCTCATGAAGAAGTCAAACACAATTAAACATCAAACCTTACAATATAAAAAAAAACTGGAACATTAGTAAGTTTTTCCAGAGAAAAGTACTGAAGATCAAGGTATGCAGCACAATAAGTGGGTCAGTGAGAGGCAGACAGAGATAGAGATTGAAAGAGATTGTCAATGGATACAGAGCCTGAATGAGAGTCTGAGACTTCTGCCAGCATTATAAATCATTGACAGGTAAACATCAGAAACAGTACTTGACTTTGTAAATGATGCTCCGGTACAAGGTGCAGAGTCTGGTTCAGTAGTGAGATAAGGAGGCTGGGTCCAGGGAGTGAGACTACAAATGGGGGAAAGATGTGTTTTAACCTTTCAGCAAAGTAACGCATGGACACTATTGTGATGAATACTGTCAACTAAATAAAATTGTGCGGCATTAAAGATTTGTGTTTCTGTACTGTCACATCTCACAAACTGAATTACGTAGAATCGTACAGCATGGAAACAGACCGTTCAGTCCAAGCCGACCATAACCCCAAACTAAACTAGTCCCCACCTGCCTGCACCTGCCTCTTATCCCTCCATTTCTTATTCATGTACTTATCCAAATATCTTTTAAGCATTGTAGCTGTATACGCATCCACCACTTGCTCTGGAAGTTCATTCCACACACGAACTACCCTCTGTGTAAAAAGGTTGCCCTTCGTGTCCTTTGTAAATCTCTCTCCTTTCACCTTAAATCTATGCTTGCTGGTCTTGAAATCCCTTTTCATTGAGCTCTGACTTTATCAGTCCATGGAGAACATCTTTTATTGTGATCGCTTTTTGAACATAGAAGTGAGTGACAGATTTAACTTTTGTTGCTACCTTATGTCTGTTTCATATGGTGTTTAGGAAATGAATGCTTTCCCTGTAAGGTGTCGCTGGACGTTTGATGGAGCGATGATAATTATGGAGTGTATTGTTGAATTCTTCTAACTCATCTTCCATGTGAGGTTACATACTTTATACACCAAGTACAGTGTGGTCATTTGGTAGTACAGACTGATGTATTGTGTTAAAAACAAAAGACAGACATTTTGTTGAAACTTTCCTTCTAGTGCTCATCAGGCCAATTCACAAGAATGTTTACACTATGAAAGGAGAGTGCTGCTAGGTGAATGATTGACTCAGTCCACAATCCAACCTGTCTCATTATCAGTTAATCATTAACTATTTCATTATTAGCCAAGACATTTCACTTCATAACCGAACATCTTTTGCAATGATAAAAATATTGTCTTCCCTGGTGTATCTGGCATTTACCAGCCAATGATTCATAATAATGAACATTCACCAGCCTCAATGTTAGCTGTGTTTTTCTCTCTCCAGATGCTGCCAGACCCACTGAGATTCTCCAGCAATTTTGGTTTTTGTTTCAGATCTCCAGCATCCGCAGTTCTTTATTTCATCTCAGACTGGTGCTCGGGTTCAACACCAATCCCACATGTACGCACACCCCCAATCTCACCTTCCAATCTCTCTCTCTCTCTCTCTCTGACCCACTCATTCTGCCATTTACCTCACATCTTGTGGGTGACACGATCATCACAAATATATAAACTATGGGCAGAGATAGCCCCTTTGATCCTTCAAAGTCCCATCTCCATTCATTAAGCTCCTGGCTGAATTAGTGTACTGAATTACACATTCCTTCCGTCCCCGATTAATCTTTGATCGCTTGCCAAACAAGAATCCATCTACCTCCACCTTAAAAATGCTAACTGGTGCACAACTTTGACCAGATTCAACCAACCAGCTCTCTTCTCTCATTCAGCATAATTTCCCATTACTTTGGTATTGTTGTGAATTGTCCTGATGGGAAGATAAAGGTGCAGAGTCTGGTCCAGTATGGAGATAAAGAGGCTGGGTCCAAGGAGAGAGACTACAAATGGGGGGGAAAAGAGGGTTTTTAACCTTTCAGCAAAGTAACGCATGGACACTATTGTAATTAATATTGGTCAACTTTAATAAAACGTGTCCACTTACTTAATTTGGGTATTGCTGAAAAAAGAGTTACACAAGGCTACATCACTGATCAATAAATCAGTGCAAATGTAAAACAAGCTTCTGAAATCTAAAAAAAAGTCCCTGAAAATGAAAAAGTGGTCTTCAAAAACCATCTCAAAAGGCACTAAAAACACGAAATTTGACCCCTGTATGTCTATGCAATCAAAATCTATTGGTCTCAGTTTTGGAATACCTAATTGACCCCAGCCAAAAAGACTAGTTGCAGTAATGAGTTCTAGGTTCCAATTGCCCTTTGTGTGAAAGCATATGTCCCTGGACTGCTGAAATTGTAATTTTAATTTTCTCTTGACAAATGGAATTCATCGGATCGGATAGAAACAAGAGTGAAAATGGAATGTTACAAATACTCCACTCACTAATGGTTTCCCTGGAGCACCAACAATAGGGGGAAAAAAAAGAGGATGGTTTGTGTTGCAGTGCTCAACTCTGTTAAACATTGTCTGGAGTTCCTCAGGAGCCTTCACTCTAGCATGGCAGTCCCTGGTTTATCTGCTGCACAAGATGACAGTGGCTGAGAAGGCACACTGACATTTGTTTTTTCAGTCAGCAGATCTTTACATTGGAAGAGGTGAGCAGCAATGCTCTTCTAAACCGTCAACCCGCAAAAAGGTCACAGCCAGCAGCAAACGTCTCCCAGTTTCTCAATGTTCAACATCTTCATATCTCACTTGCACTTGTCCTTACAGGACCCAATGGCTAGCTCACTGAACAGAAGGTCTTGGGATGGACAATGGCCATGTGCCTAATGAATCACCATTCATTAAACCCTGGTTGGGGGAACGGGGTGGGGGCAAGGGGGCAGGAAAGTGCAATTGCAAGATCAACCCACGAGAACAAAAGGCACTGAAGCAGGAGCACATTATGTTAGTTTGGCAACTACTGTCCACTCAGCATTCCTTAGCAGGAGAGGTTCACCAGCTCAGAGATTCTGGAGCATGTGATGCAAAAAATCAATTAAACTGCACAGGCATCTCACAAAAGGCACTGGTAATAAAATCTCATTTTAAATAAAACCCATCAGTATGAAATACAAACACTATCTTGCACCTTTGATAATATGTAATAGACAGTAGATGCCATATTTCAAAAAAAAACTAATTCCCATCAAAAGCTAATGTGTATACTCACAAAATGTGTGGTTTAAAGACTAAATCTGGAGTCATGATGGAGGTGCCGGTGTTGGACTGGGGTGGGCTCGCACACTCAATTATCTCGTACACCAGTTCTACAGCAGACACCGCAAGCTTGAAATCAAGATAGAGTCCATATTCTCAGCTTACGCTCAGGATATGGTGGGCCAGCTATGAGGCACTGCTGAGCAGACAAGGCAACGGAGCTACATCGCCTACATGCACACCAAGAGCAAGCAGTTGGAGAAACTTGGCATCACCACCAGCAGTAGTCAAACCTCTCCTAGTACCACAGTTGAAACCCGTACCACCACAGAGAAATCCATCATTAACCTGTCTGACCAAACCCTTTAACCCGGAAAAACAGAAGTTCTCAGCCGAGGGCTCAACTTCTGTCCCACTATCAAAATGACTCCATTGGTCTCGCAACAGACAGCGAGAAAATAATCAAATGAATGAGGCTCCAGGAAATCTTCCACGATCCAAGATTTCAGCAGCAAACCCAATGAGACAACCAACGAACTGGGACAGTTGACAGAGAGATCCGTGGTGCAACAACCAAAGAGAAAGAGTCGAATTGGACCCCTCCAGAAGGCCACTGCCCTAGACTCAACATGTATCCTCAAGTCGTCAGGAGATGCGTTAGCACCAGATTATTAAGCCGCGCTCACAAAAGGTAGCGCAGAATGTCACCCAAGTACAATGCAACGCCATCCATGCTCTGAAGTCCAATTGCAACATAGTCATCAAACCAGCAGAGGAGGAGCCATTGTCATACTAATTAAAATGGACTATGGCAAAGAAGGGTACAGACCACTCAACAACCAGGAACATTACAGAAAACTACCAGTGGATCTGACCAAAAGAACACACCCATCAACTCAGCAGACTGATCAAGACCTTTGATCCAG